AACATGGTATTACTTTATATACAATCGGATGTGAACCAGCTGCAATAACTTATCGTGATTTTTTCATGGCACTTGCATTCAAAACTGGTGGTCAATATATACCATTAGATAATTGTGCTAATTTAGCTTCGGTCATTGTTGGCTCAGCTAAAGAAGAAATTTCTCTTGAACGATTAATAGCTCAAGTACATGAAGAAGTAATGCGTGAGGCTGAATTACGTGGTGGTCCAATAGATGAAGCTGAACTTACTCGACGTCTTCATGAAGTAATGCATAGTGGAGGTGAATAGAAAAAAAAATAATATTAGCAATTAAACAGAAGGAGAAGAATGCATATATTTTTTTGGTATAGGTGTTACAGCACGTCGACTGAAATTAGACAATCAAAATGGAACGAAAAATATTCCATCATTAACACCAGCTGCTGAACAACTTTCTACATTGACAACATTAAAAGAAGTTCGAGAAAAATGGGTTCCTAATACAGGATTGTCGACAGCTTCTACTACTACGACATTTGGAGGATTATTTGGTGTGAGTAAAACTCCAACCCCTGCTTCTATATTAACAAAGAAAAAGCGCACTCGTACTTCGACCATGTAAGATATTCGACTTGTTCATGAATTTACTTTTTTATTAATATATGTATATATATCGGTGCTATATTTTAGTAAAAAACCACCAGTAAAACGAACAACAGTAACTAAAGTAAAAACAATAGTAAAAAAGAAGTCTAAACGAGTCATTGTTCATGGCAATCGTCGAAGTGCTCGTCTAGCACTCAATAGAGACTTTAAAGCAGAAGAAGAAGTATTAACGGATCATGAAGCAATGGAAGTATGTTACTTGATGTAATTTATTAATTATTATATATAAAAACAAAACTTTTTTCTAGACATCAACACCTTCAGTCGCTCCTGTTGAAAAACCAGTTAAAATGAAAACTCATATATCACATATAAATTTAGCAGATGATGAATTACTTGATGTTAGTCAAACACGAAGACTTGTTCGTAAATGTGTTGCTCGTAATAAACTCCAATCTAAATGATAAATTTTTTTTTCGTTCTTTTTCTAAAATTCTATCGAACATGTTGTAAAATTTTTTAAAATAGAATAAAAAGATTTTTTTTACTTGAAATACATTTTATAGAGATTGTTTCATTCGAGTATTTCCATTATATATACATCAAGTCATATTAGAAAATTGATTGAACTATACTTTTATTTGTCAATAAGAACAAACCTTTAGTTAGTTGGAAATTTATCGGTAGCAGTAACAACAGTATTATATTTTTTTTGTAAAGCTCCAATTTTCCTGCAAAGGACCTCTGAAATTTGCTATGCTTGAACTTATTACATATCTGTTACGACTAATCTTTTATGATTATAAATAAAAAAAAACTATGAACATTGAATATGAACACACTAAGAACTGCATTTTAATGCGCAGATTTTCTTTAACAAAATGACAGCTTTGTTGAAATTGACCAAGTTTTTAGTTTTTCCGATAGATATTTGGTTTTTGTTTTCAGTAATCAATGACATCATCAATATTACACTGAACATGATAGTAGTTGCATGATTCAGCTTCATTTTTACAGATTTTTATTCAACAGCTTGCTTGAAGAGCCATGCATATGCAAAAAACCTCAATGAAATATCTCATGTGTACTATATTTGTGCTTTCTTCACTATCAGGAACGTTTGCTTGAATACTGTTAACAAAATATATTTCCCACTTGGCATCCTATTGTCAATTGACGGACAAATCACACGTGCTCCCTGCGACAGTTGTTGTTATCGTAAAAAGATAACATGTAAAAGCATATTCAATACGTTACTTTTTTATTATAAGAAAGCAGAAGAAATAACACACTGATATTCTTCGACAGTTAGAGCAATTGAAAACCAAATAAAAAGTATATCAACATTTTTGAATTCGGAACGAACGCGACAGCTACTTAATTATTGTACGCTAAAGAAAGAATTTAAGTTTATTTTGACTACTGGAATGATTTTTCCTTTTCTGCATAATTGATCTAAATGAATTTTGTGATTTCAAGACGAACAGTGTTGTGATAAACATCAATGATTGTCTTTGAAAAGTTCTTAGAAATTTTCATGCTAGAATAGTTATCTTCGTTTGTGATGTGGAACCTTTTACGAATAGACATTGGAAACAAAAATGACTTTTGGTCATACTTACGGAGTTCGAATGATTTGATCAAGATGTTGAAATTTCGAAAATCGAGATAAGAAGACATTACATTAGATTTGGAAAACTAATTTCTAATAATCATCTTATTCAAAAGCATAATCCTAAGGATTATTTCGAAAGGCGATCATTGAAAAGTTCCGATAATTACGGGCTATCCAAGAAAAAACTTCAGAAAAATTAAGATAATTATTAGAATCAGAGACATCACTTTTTGCTGATCATTGTAGTAGAACTGATTCTTCAAATATACGAATCATCTCCTTTGGACAACCAGATTTCAACTACAGACCTAAATTATGAGAAAATGCTTCAAATCAAGGTAGAAAAAAATAGCTGTTTCCTCTTGGGTCAATTTAATTCTTGTAATTTTGCCTCGAATCGTTTACTTAGTTGACTCTAAATTTGAGAGTGAAGAACTACTATGCATAACAATTAACTATGAACTTCTAGGAATAATGTCTTCTCGATAGTGCCGATTGGATAATTTTAGAGAATTCGATCTGTTGCTTCTAGTCTATTGATCTCGAAAAATTATCGAACTTCTACAATTTCGAATGCCAATTCTATCACGACCAACATCGTCGAATGTCTATTGGTAAAACACGCTCTGACCCACTGTGAGTCCCATCTTACTTGGGCCATATGCTAGTCGATAGAGCTTGAATTTCTGAGACGAAATATCCACGAAAAAATGTTTGGAAAATGAAACCAAATATAGCTCTGTTACATATTATATATTGATTAAAGCTATCAGCCACATACCACAGCTTCACTTAACACGTCATTTTTTCGAACATTTACTTGTTTGAGCATTTGATAAATGGAAGCCAACTACCATTGAAAAAGTGAAACCATTGGATGAGTCGGTTCAAGAGGAAATTATTATATTACTAAATTCAAAATGAATTGAATTGACAAATCAATTTGAAATATTATCTCAAAATTTTAAAAATCTAAGAGAAACCGAAAGCTTTATTGAACAGAACATAACACGATTAAAGCATGTGATGGATCGGTTGATTGAAGATTTAGAAAACTTGACTAAGCCATCTAACATCATTCCGCATGTAAAACAAACTGATGAGATTGCATAGAATCAACTGATTAGTATTAGAAACGGTAAATCTTCTAATAAGAATCAGTTCAATCAGCAATAATCGGCAAGTGATCATATTAAAGAATTTTGAGATTGAAAATATTGTTTTTTCTTTTTATCTGTTACAGATCAGAGTTTACTAATATATAGTATGGATATACCAAATATAATTAAAACGAGAAATAATAATGATTGTAATCATGGTGAAACTCATTCATACCAACAAACTTTTACAAACGGGAAAATTGCTCATAAAAATACATCAAGAAGATGAAAATATTTTATTATATGAACGTGTTAAATTTAATCGTTTTAATGCTGAATCAACTCAGATGAAAAAAAGAGGCATTGGTTGAATGAAAACTTTACAATATTCAACAACAAATCTTTGTCGTATTTGAATGCGTCATAAGCAACTATTGATGTTATGTTCAAATCATCAAATAACATCACAAATAGAATTAAAATCTCATCAAACTACAGAAAATGTTTATATTTAGTTCGATATGAATTTTATTGATGATGGGGCAAAATAAGAAACATTTTGTGTAAAGTTTTAAATCAAGTGATCAAGCAACAAGATTTGTTCAACAATTTACCAAAGTCAAACAAGTAAATGCAAACGTTCGGCAGTAAAGCCGCAAAAAAAGTACTTGATGCAAGATTATCTGATTTTCTTATTCTAAATTGATATTTGTTATACTTGTATACTTTATTTCAGCCTTTCTATAATACACACCTAAATGCCACATGGTGTTTCTTTGAGGCATATGCATCCAAAGCTGCTAGTGTATGTCTTAACAATCTCAAGAATAAAAAGCTAGAAAATATTCGTTGAAATGCAAGATGAAAATATCGATATTGACTTGACATCATTCGTTTTTTGCTCTTTACTAGAGCTCTTGTTTTCTTTTTGCTGAGTCTAAGAAAAAAGCAAATCTTTTTAGGTTTTGTTTGTTTGCTAAACTCAAAATTATTAAAACAAAAAACAGCGCACTACTCGTTATTGTTCGAGCTATAAAATAATTAAAATGTAACTAATTACATATTCAATTGTAAGAACAACTAATTCCAGGCCATGATTAGTCCAAAAGATTAAATTCTCAAATTCTTCTATTCTAATGCAGAGAGAGTATGGTTGATTATTCACAGAGCATTTATTTGTATTGGTAGTCTTATGAGTATCTTATCTTGAAAAGATCGTTTTTTTTTAAATCTATCTTCAACCTGTAATGAAAATTTTCTTCTAATTTACATTAGGCAGATAAGAAAAACATACTTTTAGTGAGTAGAGATCAATAAATAAAGAAATGATGTTCAATTTAACCTAACAGAATCTTATTCGACATGTATAGAGTATTCGAAATTAAAGAATCGAATTGAGTGCTTTGTGTCTTGCTTTGTACTCTAAGTTTTCTCAAGCTGTCATCTAGTTTATGACGCAGAGTATTGCACCATCACAATGAACTATTCTTCATCTCTCAAATGAAGCTGACAAGAAAATATATATATAGATCTTTCAACAAGAATAAAAATTCAATTTCAAAAGCCATTGAAAAAACTATGAATTTGGCTCGAATAATTTTTCTTATGTTTCTATTACATTCAATGACTTTTATTGAATCTTTATGATGTGCACGAGGTTGTGAGTTTGTTGGTTTACCACTCAATCGTCCATTACCCATGAGTACGTGTGAACACGTAGAACGAGATAATGCCCAATGTTCAGTAATTGTACAAATTGATTTCAAGAAACGTTTTGTTTCTGGTCAATTAAATATAGGAAACAATGCTACTATAGCTACTCTTCGGACCGAAACTAAATTTCAACTACAGTCAAGTTCGGTCATGGCAACTGTATGGTATACATGTGCAATGTTGGATTATTGTGATTTTGAGTTTCTTAATGAACTAATGATTGATAATTTAGCTAACTTGAATGCAATATCTGTTCAACAAAAATTAATTGATTTACTTTACGAATCAACATCTGGTCCAACAGATATTCCATGTACTGATGGATTGTGTCCATCTAATAGTTTTTGTCAAGCAGATCTTGAAAACACAGTCACATCACAGTATAACTATACCTTCATCACTTCAACTTTACCATGTTATTATATGTCACCAAATGGTAATTTATTGGAAATTATTCAATTATCTTCACATTCTGCAGCTCAAATAGCGATAATGACTCTTCGGTGTAATAATAAGGAATGTCATAATAGAAAAACTGTAACAGACGCTTATGCATTGATTCATAATGAATTCACTTTACTACTTAATTATTCTATTCTAAATATTAACACAACTTTAACAACAACGACGACAACAACATCGTTGCCGTCTGATGCTTCATTTTTAGTTCTATCACATAGTCTTATCATTTTTAATAGCTATGTTTTTATTTTTTATCTGTTTTTTAAATAACGATTAGGAAAATAACATTTACTTTCTATTATCTACTGAAATAAAAGACAACAAAGCAGTTTTATCGACTCCAAAACTATATTTCTTGTTGTATTCAGCAAGCTGAACACAGATGAGAGAAAGCTGTGAATGCAATCTGTGTAGAATTAAATGTAAAACATGATGTAATTGCTGTTGCTAATCACAAGGAGACTGATTTATTCTATCTATTTTGGGACAGATTTTTTCACCATCCTTTTACTTAATACTGCAGAAATGTAATACGAAAGTTGTTCATATATGTATTAGAACGAGACTTTATTCATATAAGATCTTCGATTGTGTATCAAGAATGTTTCCTACAACCTGTGATCGATTTCCAACGTGTCTGTCACGGTCTCTGAGGGTGGAGCGAAATAAAAATTTTAACTCTACATTTCAACACCCTTTTGAAATCATGCTGCACAATAGTATATCTTAATGTATTGGAATATATAATTCTTAGAAAACAAAAATTTTATTGTTCATCATTCACAATACGATGTAAGGCTCTTGAATATAAAAAGCTCAAGTGTCCTCGATAATACATTTCCATCTAATAGTATTTGTAAAATAACTATCATTTTCGAGAATTCATATAGAATAATTAAGAAATTTGGATTTGACAGATTAATGTTTCAAAGCTGCTATGAAACAGAGATTAAATTTCAATTGATCAGTCTATTGAAATGACTCATGTTTCAAAACATATGAAAGTAATGTAACGATTGTTTTGCATAAATACAACTATAACGACAAAGGGAAGAAGATGGGATGACAGACTGGAGGAGTAGCTAGCCGCTACCCTTGGCAATGATGTTTATTAGCTACTTCGCATCTTCAGAATGTCTCTATTTCACATGCAACACGCGCTTTTATAGGAGAGAGAAAAGAGAGAGAGATGAACATAGACAAGAACAATAGAGAGAGAGAGAGAGGATACAGAGGAAAGAGGAAAAGAAGATCAATGGGGTGTGACATCAATATCGGCACAACAACTACGGTAGAATAAATGGAAACTATTTAAATTGATGGTAATAAATAGAAATTTTCTTGTAGCAATGATGTTCGGGAAATGTTATTGATAAATTGTTCCATAGAACACATTACACGAGAAAAGAAACTTATTCGAATGAAAACATCAGATAATGGATCAATTCCATCTAGATATTGTTCAATTAATTCAAAATTGTTGCAGTGTATATAGTACTACATCTTTCTAATATGTACAAATCACTTTTTTATTCCAGACCTGAACAATTAACAATGCTTGTATGATTCAAATGACATAAGGTTTTATACCAAACTTATCACAAAAAAGATTAGCCTAATTACTATATAGTAAAACTTGAACAAGTTATCACCTTGTAATTGAAGAAACGATGAAAGAAAAAAGAAGAATATTAAATCAATAGAGTATAGCTATTTTTTTGCTCTGGTTTCTCGACACATTTAGTATTTATCATAAAAAAACCTGAACTTGTTATTTCTTATAAAATAGCAGTAAAAAGTTTGGCATACTTGTATTTTTTCAGGTATTTCCTTTGTAGTTATGGATAATACGAATCAAAAGGAAAACATTTGAGTAGCCAAAACAATTTTCTATCAAGCATGATATTTTCCCTGTTCTATTGAAATTTCAAGTGAAAAGATTTTCTAAAAAACTAAAATTCCTAAAAACAACAATTTGTTAGATTTTATCGGAATGCTTTTCCGAATAAGTTCATATGACAAAGCAAAGATTTCTGAGCATAATGCGACATTTCTTAATTCCCTATAACCTGTCTTCATAAAACTATTCTTAATATATGAAACGCTCCGAAGCATAAAACATAAGAAACTTTCAAAAAATGACTTTGAGACCATTGATAGACAAACTGCAGTATGAAAAAGAAAAATCATGAAGAGCTCCACAGAGTGCCATACCCTTCTCTCGATTGTCTGTTTAGTCGCTCTGATAGAAGAAGAAACAATCTAAGTTTCAGATAATCTATAAAATGCATTCATGAGCGTTCTTTCATCATTCGCCTGAGTATTTCTTTTGTTTGATTACAAATATGAAATCATTCAATGCTACATAAATATTCATCTCAGAGCAATGGAAATTCGTGTCTATGCATAATACTGACAGTGGCGCGCATGATATTGATTTCCATGTTGTCGAATAGAGTTATAGTCGGCTAAGCATAACCAGCAGAATTCATGTTTGCAATTGCGACATGTCATGTGGTCACATCCCTCATTTTTTTCAATAGATGCATTGCATCCAGGACATTCCTTAGAATGATCACGCAACCAGTTTTGATTTTGTTGCTCTTGTAGATCGGAATTCAATTTTTGATCATATTCTGTGCAGGTCATCCCAGAATGCCACTTAACTTGATGATGAGCACACGTTTTGTTTTTGCAACGTATACACTTGAAAATGGGACCTCCATCATTAGCAAGTTGACCACCCGAACCGCATCCATGGGCACACCACACCAAGTTTTTCATTCTCCCGACATATCTCATACTCAATTGATCTTCATATCGACCCATAGTTGTTATGTAGCGATCAGGATGTGGGTTGAAATCAACTAGAACTCTGTTAACCGAGTCAAAATCAAACAAAGCATTACAATCTTGCTCTGGACACTGGACGTCCGTTGTAGAACGATCATTAACAGCATTGTATGTATTCAGACGCACACAATCAGTACAAATTTGGCGTTGAACATGTTGGCATGCTGAACTAAAAACCTCACCAAAGTCAGCAATGGATTTTTCATTGAGACAGACAACACATTCACGAGTGCGCGGTTTCGCTGTTCTAAAAAGATCATATACACATAAATATGAAACAAAATGAAAGAGAGCTCATTATTTACGGAACTCGTGGTAGTCTAAGCGTTTGTTGTCGAGCAGACGACTTTCTAGGTGCCGGCGATGAAGCAAATCTTTGTATTGATGAAAAAGGTCTTGACGCTGAAAAATGTCAAAATTTCATTTCTATCGTATGCAGCTCTGATGTTTGAAAACATAAATCTAAGAATGTTTTAAATAGAATAGTACAAGCGAGTATGATTTCTAAGCGCCCCAGTGTATAAAATTTTGATCAGTAGTCAAAACGATAGAATTCAGCATGTTTTCTCACCTGCTAAACACTCGTCGAATGTTCTATAAGTCGAAGCATATTCTTCCTCTTGCTTACAGCGTGAAAGGGAATTTTCCAAAACTACGGTTGGTTTTACTATTAATCGATTCGGTAAAGGTGTGCGACCTCGATGCAGGAGCTTTGTTGATTCGTACCATGGCGGTGAAACCCTCGCCGGAGTTCGTGCTTGTTGAATTACAGGCGAAGGTGACTGCCTTATCCGACTAAATACACTTCGCTCTTCCGGAACTATTGAATAAAGAGAAAGCTAAAGTATCATAAGCTAAAACCACATCATTGTTTACTGTCTTCCAATTCAATGCTTGAGCTTTCGGCAGCTGTTTGAAAAAGTAGATTAGTCAGTGCTGTAAGATCTTGGTAAACCTATTTAACTTACTTGATTCTTCGTCGTCTCGATCGACGAGTCCAGATTCCTCATATCTGATAACAATGCTTATCGTAATAGAATAACTTTGTGGCTATTTATTACCTTTGTGCTAACTCCAAGCGAAGTGTACATTCGAGTTGGTCACAATGAGCCCGCCGTTGCTCGTATCTTGTTTGGAAGGTTTCCTTAATAAGAAGCATAGAAAAATATCTATGGTCAAATATCTATTATATTTACTGGCTGTTGTGAATATTCTTCACATTTTGTCATCAAATTCAAGTATTCAAGCGCCTTGCAGTAAGCTACATATGCTAGTTCTTGATCGCCTTCCACATCTAAATATTGTTTTGCTTCATTTTTGACCTTCCGATACAGTTTTTGCAATCGTTTGAATGTTAATGGTTCATTACACTCATGATGAACACCACTTTGAGCACGTAAGACAGCCATACTTTTAGCGAGGTAAAGAGGTATCGGTTTCACCATTTCTCTCTTGCTCACGACAACGTTAATCGATGAATATAATAACACAGGTTATCTCACTTGACTTTATATATTTTTTTTATTCAGAATTCTTATCTTCAAAACACTTCTCAACAATTTACGACAAACAAATATCGTACTTTTTTGAAGAAAAAGCTCTATAAACACTCATGTATCTAATCTCATAGTGGCGATACTTTTCAATTCTCATTTGCAGAGAAAAAAAATAAACGGGAATTACCAAGTTCATGTGTAATTGCCAGCTCATGTGATGAACATCTCCATATCTAATAAAAATTCCGGATTTGTAGTGCTCAACGCTATGACCATGTTGATACCAAGTAGCAACGGTTCATAATTGCACTTTTCTCTCCAAAATGTTTTCGAAAAACAATACATCACGATAATAGGACAATCATGAACTATAACATGAACATATTTACTCACCTTAGCTCTTCATTAAGGTTTTTTTCACCTGACTCCCCTCCATAAGGCACACCTGAAATTCTTTTTCTCTTTGTATGTTGATGAATAAGAAGAGCAAGTATGAATCATAAACATTGCGTCAGATGACACACAATCTATAGAGATTTGGACAGATTTTTGTTTAAAGAAAACCAAAATCAAAACTCAATCCACTCATATATCAAAGAAAAACTCTAGATGCTCAAGAAACTAAAATTTCGTTTAAAAAAAAGTTAAAGAACATTCTATGGAAGAGGTCCAGGAAAAAATTTCTTAAAAGATCACCAATTTTACAATAATTATAAGAAATCGGTTAAATAGAATTGTTTAGTTCGACAAAATAACAAATGGTCAATTATTTTGTATAATAATCCAAATTTCAGTACTCTGATCGAACAACTTAAGTACAAAATAGTCCAAATCTGTTAGTTGAAAGATTTATTTTTAGCTCCTTGTAGTAATTGATGGAATTTTTTGGACAATATGGAACCAATCTGCATGTATGGTTGA